TCAGGGGCTGGCTACCGGATATGAGTATGGAGAGTTCAACCTACCTAGTAGATGTTTGCATTTGACCCCTACCCATACCTCTGCTACCTATGCTCCAACCATGATAGCGATTGGGCGGTAGCGATTGGATTATGCTATTGGTGCTTCTTCTGGGTAAACAGGCCCGCCTTTGCTCTTCAACCCGGATGAACCACTTATGGCTCTGGCCCCGCCTCATACCTTAACTCTAAATGCACGATAATCAGTGAGATGGTAAGTAGGAGAGTGTTTAAGGCAGTTTGGGACATTCAGTGTCCCAATAGAAGAGTTAATAGTATTGTAATAGATGAACTAGAACAATGTTTGATCTTATTACAACAATTTCTTTATTTTCCTGATCAAAAGGATAGGTATGTATGGACCCCAAATAACTCAGGTCATTTTACTGTCAAATCTGCTTATAACTTGACGTACTATGATAGAGTTAGGTGGATGAATAAAAGCTTAGCAAAGATTTGAAAATGGCTCATTCCCATTAAAGTGAGAGCGTTTATTTGGCTACTCTCACAAAAGAAATTACTAACTCTGGATATGTTGAGAGTAAGAGGTAAAGTGCTTCCAAATATACGTGTACTCTATAAAAATGAAGAAAAAACAATTCATCATTTATTTTGTAAGAGGTAAAGTGCTTCCAAATTACTAACTGTGTTTTTGGGAAAAGTTTGTTGGGGTGGGTGTTTAACTGTTTGGGGGTAAATGTTGGTTTTCTTTCAAATGCCAGCAGATTTATTGATGATTGGAGTTTATCAGAAGTGAGTAGCAAGGGGAGATGTAAATGGAAAGTGGTAAAAGATGCTAATATGTGGGAGTTATGGAAAGAGAGAAACAGAAGATGTTTTGAGAGTCAAAGTACATCAGCTAATGAGCGATAAGAGAATATCATAAATACTACATCAGAATGGTTATCAATTATGAACGATTGGTGGGGGGGGGTATCTCATGTTGATTTGATGTATAATCTAAATATCTTATTTAAGATAAAAAGCCCCAAAGATATCAGAGTAGGCATATGGAAGAAACCATATGAAGGGTGGATAAAAGTAAATTTTGATGGTAGTTCTATGGGTACCCTGCCGTGCAGGGATTGGTGCTATTATTCGTGATTGTATAGGAAATATTTTGTTGAAATTTTCTGAACCTACAGAAAATATAATGGCAAATGAGGCATAGATGAGATCTCTGCTTCAAGTTGTTAAATTGGGTAAGCAATTTAGCGACTATATTGGTAGAAGGAGAATCACTAAATGCTATTAAGTGGGTAAAGTTTGAGGCAGAATTTCCTCGGTTACTACTTGGTTTGGTTAGAGAAGTGAGAATGAAATGCTGTGATTTATCTATTGTGTTTGGCTATGTATATCGAAAATCAAATATGGAGGCTGATAGGCTTGCCAAAGAACGTGTATCCATGGAAAACCCAAGTGTGTTGTTGTTGCAGGTGCTATAGAGTTTTTTTAGTGTAGATTATGGTTTTGTTTTGTTTTTGTAATAACTGTTTGGGCTTTATGGCTCTTGTAGACTAATGTGTCATGTGATGAATGAATGAATGAAAAGTGATTTCTTATTTAAAAAAAAAAGGGAAAATAGTTTCATGCAGGCTGGACAGCAATTCTACAATATGCAGTCCATAGGTATAAAGCATCCATCTTAAAGATGGATGCAATAGGCGATTCATCCAAAAACAAGTGTAACTAATGGCCCAAATGTTTTTTTAACATAATTGTTATTTCTAGTTTTGCATTTTTTATTTTTCATTATATTCATGATCTCCATGTTAAAAATTATATATTCTCCAAAAATTAAGAATCAAATTATATTTAAAATTATATTTATTGCCAAGCCTGCATTTCTACAATGTTCAAGCTAACCGCACAAAAAACTGTGTCCTACAAAAAAGCGAAAATCAAATAAATTAGAAATAAGCACTTTGTTCATTTCCTCAATGAAATTCTATTTAAAATTTAAAATCAAATAAGAAATAAATAATTACAAAATGAGAATACAGACTTCTCTTTGACTCTGAAATCAAAGGGCCTTGATCACTCTCTCCCTAGGTTTGGATAGGAGTCAGTCCAAAAAAAACAGGATCTTTTCATGTTAATGATAATTATCATTGTAAGTATATTTTCCGTAAGTTATTGAGATATTGTTGCTTTTGCATGTTTAATTCATAATTCATCATATAATCACCGGGACTTTATTATATTAATTCATAGAAACAGTTTCATCTATTGTAATTAGATGATTTAGATTTCGTTTTCTTAAATGTAATGTGAAATCTATATCATGAAACTAAAATGAATGTTATAGAACTAGGGCTATCAATAGGTAGGGCTGGGCCGACCCGGAATGGAGCCAAAAAAAAGCCCGGACTTGATTCTGCCAGGCCCAGTGAGGCCCGGTCCGGAACTATGCCTGGTAAAGCCCGCCCATTAAAGGCCTGGAAGCCCGGCACGGCCCGTTAAGGCCCATAAGTATGCGCCAAAGCTCGGCCCAACCCATTAGGCTTATTGAGCCTGGCCCACGCCCAATTTAGATTTTTTTTTTTTTAATCTTTCCCAATTTTTTTAGTAAGTTAAAAAAATGGTTAATTTTTTATTTGGGTTTTTAGACAGAGAATGAGTTTTAGAGAGAAAAATTGTTAATTATTTTATTAAGTCCCACCATTCTCCACAAGGATTTCTCTAGTTTATACAAGACACATCAATTTCCTAAAACCCTATAAAAGAATGGAGGATATGTGTATCTTCCTATGATTGCCATGCCTTCTGATTTTGAAATCAATTTTTTGTTCTCCATGTCCGGGAACATTTAAAACGCTTCAGATCCAAATTTTTAGGATTTTGCTCTGTGTCCAAGATGATAATCTTAGACAAGTTCTATGCGTTCTACTTTTATACACAGTAAGCAACAAATCATAGTTTCTTCTCTATCTCAACTTTTTAAAATCCAGAATATTGCCCAGGGATAAGTTTTCTGAGAGAATTGTAAAAAAATTGGCACAATTCAACTAAAGTTGGCAGATTTCTGGAAAAAGATCAAGGAAATTGAGTTAACTAGAAAGTTTTCCTTTTTTTGAATTTGAGCCATGTAGCATTAAATTTTGTCCCCAACATATCTAGAATGTGCATTATATCTGTTTTCTGTAGAATTCAGCATAAACTAACTTGCATTGACTCTGCAAATATTATTGGTCCGTGAAACTAGGCTTTTGATTTAATGATAAGAGTGTCTACTCAACTAATTTTTTTATTTGATGATAGAAAGAAACAAAATATGTGAACAATTAGGCTCTGTATGACACAAAATCACAATCCCCAGCCATCCACCTGTCCAAGTTTGATAAAGAGAGCCACTCACCGTTTGATCGTAGATCCGACGTCCCAAAGTATTTTATTTTTAGTTCTTTTTATAAAACTTATATGAATATGAAATTTGGTACGTGCCATCTTCTCATTGGGGTGCACCTATAAAAATATTAAAAATAATTTTTCGATAAAATATAATGACCAAAATACCACTTGAATATTTCAGAGGTATTTTGGTTATTTATATTATTGAAAATATTTTTTTTATATTTTTCGCTAGTGCGAGTTTAATAGAGATTGGATGCACAAAAACTGGTATTAAACAAGTTTTTAAAAAAAATTAAAAATAAAATAGTATAAAGACGTGACATTGTGATTGGGACAATCTTAGCCCTCCGTTCAAAATGGACGGTTGGATAAGGGGAAGTATGAAAGGTTTATGTTGTAGAGAAAGCATAGAAAGCTTGCCCGGGGCTTATTAGCCCATTCAAGGCATTTCTAGGCTTATTAGAGTAGCCCAGTCAGTTGAGCCTCGAGGTCCCATTAACAGCTCGTTAACAGGCCCGCTGGAGGCCTGTTCGCCTGTTTGAGCCCAGCAACCGTCGTCATCATCATAATTTTTTTACCAATTTATTAAGGTTAGCTACATTAATCATAGTAAGTTATTTTGTTTTATTAAAGGTCAAACCCTCAATGAGACCATAAATCCCTATCTGTTTGTCATGATTGTTATAAAATTAACTCATGCTCTATGTGTTTGTTTTTTCATAATTACGTTAACGTTGATATGGGGCTCGTCATACTTGATCTGAAATATAAATCGAGTTTGACATAAAAAACTAAGTCCTAAAAGAAATTCGTCCCAGTTTTCCTATCAGTATCTATATAAATTTATTGAGGGATGGCGCTTCCATGAGTCGGCCGACTGATATGTATGTATATATGGCATATGCGTCCCCCTATTAAAATTCATTTTAAAGATGGAATTTTTATTCAAATTTTTAAGGATTCATGTCTAGGCCAAGGTGATTATAAATATAAAAAAATTGATTAGAAATTTTAAAATTTCAAATAATATTTTATTGGGACATTGTTTTGCCCTTTCCATATATTACTTTGGGCCGGCACACTTTCCCAGCGTCCATCTTAAGTATGGACGTTTGTGGGTCAGCGGGTTTGAGTCTGCCGTCTGCATAAAGAGCGTTTCCTGCATCAAAATGCATCTCACTTCTTGGATATTTAACCGTATAACCTTTTACTAATATTACAACTCAAAACAAATATGTTTTTTGAAACTAAATAAAAATTGAGTAAAATGTTAAATAATTAAAATATTAGATGCATGTTGATAAAATAGTGTAATAAAGGTGACGACCTTAAATTTTTCAGTAATCGATCCCAAGTTCGAATAAAAGAGGTGGGTTGCGTTAGATAGCCATCCGACATAAAACTCTACCCTATCTTATCTTCTTAAACGATACGAGATATGATAACTTTTGGTCCTACCGAACGCATGACTCTTGATAGAAAGAATGACGAAACAAGATTCATATACATAACCTCAAATAATTAAGACAAAACCTAGACAATATTGACGATGATCTATAGTTGTTTACTAAAAATATTTCTATACTAGCTTTGATTCGAAGGAGACGAGCTATTTTCTGACTGAGTCTAACAAAATTGGGTCAATCTATCCATCATTGCGTCAGGATTTCATCCAACTTCATGTAGACTGTTGTGAATCTAATGTACCTGTGGGCCAACACTCCTTATCAAAGGGAAAAGGTGAAAGAAGAAGACGACAAAGTCGACAAAAAGGAGGCATTTACGTTTGTTGAGGCTTTTCGCTGAAATTTCGGCGAAATAATGACCGAAGAGAAGGGAATAGAAGGAGGAGAACGCGTCATCGCTTGGACTACACTCCGCTTTCTTTCACTCTGCTTGGACCGTGGACTAAGTCTTTCTTACTCACTCTCTCTCCTTTTCCCAGTCAATACTTCTTCACTTCATTTTATCTTTCCAAACTTTAATGTAATCATGGAAATATAAATAACTCTTCTCTCACTCTTATCTGTAAATCACCCTTAACTGCATTTATATGAGCCCCTTCTCTCTCTCTCTATCTCTACATGTTAAGGACCGAATTCAACTTCAAAATCTGCACTTCCCCTTTGATTCTTTAGGCCAGTTAAAGTTCATGGTAGCACCAGGTTTTCTTCATGTTCATGTGATGTTCTTCGAGTTCTTTGGGTTTAAATTATCTGCGTTTTCGAGCTAAACAAGCATTGAGTCCAGTGAGGAAATCCCTTCAGTTCTTCTTCTAAGTAACTGTGTACCCATTCTTCTTCTTCGACTGCTCTTTCGAATTTGGAGGTTTTAACTCAGAGATACCCATGACAGCTCCTTCAATTCGAATTTATAGTTGGCTTACTCTTCTCTCTTTGACCCTTCATTTGCACATTTCTGAGTGAAAATGCGTGCCCTCTGCACTTTCATAAAGAAAAGGTGAATTCTCTCACAAAACCCACCTCCAAAACACCATCCTGAGTCACCAAGACTCCCAAATTTGGGGTTATAATAATTTGATTTCGGAAAAGTAATGGAGGTAATCGGTGAGTGGGAGCGGAAACTGTTGGTCCAAGAATTGAGTGCAGGACAGGAAGCAGCAAAGGAGCTTCTCAGCAATGCTGAAAATGCCGTTGCAAAGGAGGCCAAGGTGCAAAAGATACTGGCTTCCATCTCAAACGCCCTCTTATTGCTCCGGCAAACAGATGCGACCGACGATTCGCCCGATTCCGGGAGCCGGAGCCCCTTGAGTGACGATTCAGGCAAGAGCTATGCCCGGCCCTCTAAGGACCAGGACGGGCGTGAGATTTCGAAAAAGAGGTGGGCATGGTGTGGTGCACTTGTTTTTGTTTGGTCGAGTGTGTGTATGGTAAGATTGATGGTTTTTGGGCCGTTGACTAATGGAATGTGTATGGATTGGGGTGTGCAGGAAGACGCTGCCAAAGTGGACGGAGAGAGTCAGCGTTGCTGCGGAAAGTGGGTGCGAAGGTTCGCTGGGAGACCGTTACACGTGGCGAAAGTACGGTCAGAAGGACATACTCGGAGCCAAATACCCTAGGTATTCACCAAATTACTAGAATACCCCCGAATTATTAACTATGTTTAGGCCCCGTTACCGTGTGCCGGCCGGGGCTGCCGTGGCTTGGGTCCATCCCTTGTTCCCATGGGACATCCCGGACTAGGTGAAAGCGGCTGTGCATCGCACCCCAACCTTGTCCCGTCTTGACTAGGTTGGGCCAGGCCAGCCCTCTCATGGCCCGACACCTAACTCTCCAATCACTTTTTGTTGCTTGTTTTTCACCTTTTTTTTTTTTGGGGGGGGAAAAATTACAAATCTCATTGCCCGACCTAGCTCTCTAATAACTTTTTGTTGCTCGGAGTTTTTTTTTTTTTTTTTTTTGAAAAAAAATTACAAAAAACATTGAGACCACACTTTCTATGCAACTTATACCCAACTTAATTTTTTTGCTCACTTTTTTTTCCCAAAATACACTTTTTATGTAAATACGTGCCAACCAAAAAAATTAATAGAAAAATATCTAAAATATCCTCTCTTACTTTTTTTTTTTTTATCAACTCTTCTTTCGTCTATCTCACCAAAATAAGGTTCCGACACTGTGTAAATGTGGTCCGCAGTAAAACACTTTGTAAATAGCAGTTTGGCAATTGCAAAGGGCAGTCCCCTAGTAGATATTTGCGGTCCTACAGTTGCAAAGGGCGGTCCGACAGTAGATGTTTTTATTCTCGAGCTCCGACGCTATGTAAATGGTGGTCCGGCAATACGCATTTTCGTTCCGGTAATTGTCTTAGGGCATGACGATACTTAAGTTTCCATAAAGGCGGTCCGATAATGCGATGATGCTCTTCGGCAATCTGCTACTGGGTCCAAAATCAACGTCAAATCTGGCCAAAATGATTTTGTATACGAGAAGGGTATTTTTGTCTAAAAATGAACTTTTTTTCGTGTGAAGATATTTGCATTGGAACTTTGTTTTGAAGGAAAAAGTGAGAGAAAAAGTTAAGTGGGGGTTAAGTTAAATAGAAAATAGTGTGGTCTTGGGAGTTATTTTTTTTGTAATTTTCTCTTTTTCTTCTAAGCCCATCCGTCCAATTTAAAGCCCTAAATCTATTCCACGTAGTTCACACTCCTAAATGAAAAAGGTAACCTATGACAACAACTTAGATGTCATGGGTCCTTTAATTGGATTTGCTCTCAAAATGATGAAATTCGCTACTCAATTACCAAGGTACCACCTAAAAGGGAAAAGTTTATATAAAGTTGCAACCTTATAATGTAGAATTAAAGATGAACTTAAGAACTACATTAAAGATGAACTTAAGAAATCCATCGAAAAATGTTGTTTTAATATTAAAAAACCCTCTAATTGATCATCACAATATCGATAGGAAGATAGATTTTTGAATAATCCTAATAATATTTACACTAAAATTACCTAATAAAATTTGGAGATAGGCTTTAATCAATTGGATTGTTTAAGGTTGCTAGAAACCTTCCTAGGACCCCAAATGTTCCGGACTTGATATGGTCCTTAACTTTGGTTCAATCATAAGGCCACGTCCGCAACATTTCACATCCAACCATGCCCCTTGAATACAGTTAAATACCACCCATGTGCTAACAAAAATGACCGAAATGCCCCAAACGATTTGAGATGCAGTCCCATACAATTTTTGGTCCTAATTCCATAAAATCATTTGAAGAATCAAATGTTTGGAAGGGGAGGTTTAGAAAGTGGCCCCTCCATCCAAAGGAAAGTGCTTCCTGGGAAAGCCACTATTTGGATATTGGTTTTCTCTGGTGTTAATATCTTCCCCTACATGCTTATCTTTCATGCAACAATGCTGCACTAAGCAAATTACAATGTTATCAGTGCTTTTGGATGCCAATTTTTCAGTAAGTCATCTTGTGAAATAATGTCTATATCTCACTGGTGTTAAGCTTTAAGTATTTTCAAATACTAATGGCTTATTAAAATTAAGAAATAGTTACCATCTACCAAATCTATAAACACTTGAAATTTTTGAAAATTGACTGTCCAAATAATACATTAAACGATAAATTAATTTTAGTACTAAAAATCGCCTTTTTTTTTCATGCCTATGAATCTTGACGTCAAGATGACCGATTTGAGGGTTTTTCAGTATAAGAACATTATCTGGGTTTTTTTTGATGCACCTTACTGGTACAGGAGAAGGTTTACACCTTGTATAAACTCTTTCCCTCTTTAATTAGTGAAAGAAGAATTAAAAAAAATCTGACTGCAAATTTTCTTTGCCAGGGGTTACTATAGGTGTACTCACAGAAACTCCCAAGGCTGCCCTGCAACCAAGCAAGTCCAGAGATCAGATGATGACCGTTCAATCTTCGACATCACATATCGCGGAAAGCACACTTGCATCTATTCAACCCACCGGAATCCGACCAACTCACCGAAAAGCCAGCCAGAAATTGTCCTTAATTTCAAGGCAGGTGGCCTCAACATCAAGACCGAAGCACCCGAACATGCCGAGATGATTGGTTCTTCTCCTTCTTTCTCTTTTCCTTGTACCCCAACTGTCGACTCAAAGGGCATATTTTCGCCGGCGAGATCAGCACCTGAGAACCAATTTTCGGGCAGAGGATTCTCACCTGCTTTTGTGTCTCCGGCAACATCGGAATCAAACTATTTTGCAGGGCTTGGTGAAATACTCTCAGCTCCAAATTCTTCAACAAACTCACCAATGATGGATATGGATCTTATGCTTCATAATGTGGAATTTGATCCAGAATTCCAATTTGATGCCTCTGAGTTTTTCTGATTTTGCTTAACTGGGTCTTTCTTTTATTTTTTGTTGATAAATTTAGAGAAATAGAGGGAAGGGGCTCAGATTTGGGAGAGAGATAGAGAAATGGCTCTGTTTAGGTAGAGGATCAGGGAATCCTAAAATTGTATAGTAAAAAGAGTAATAGTTGTTGGAGTCTGATGAGGAGATAGTGTAACCTGTTCATTTTTCTTCCAAAAAGGTAATTGTCTTATATTATGTCTTTACCAATTTTTGCCGCTAGTTTTAGAATCAATAGTTTCCAATAGACTACTAGTGGATCTCTTTGATTTGTAGCTTGCTGGATGAATTTCCTACCACATATTCTGCATTTTCTTTTGGACACATGTTCTAAGTCCCTGGAATCGTATGTAGGAATGAACCCCCTCTTAACAATCTATTTTTTAAATCGATTTATGCCCTGATTTTTAAGCGTGAGGTTTGCATAAAGTCCTAACCTTAAACAATCAATGTTAGGCGCACATCCAAATTCTGTCATAAGATGCAATTAAAATGTTTTTGGATGGCCCGAGAACCTATTTTCATCTCTAATTACAAAATTGAAAACTAAAAAAAATACAAATCAAGCAGATCTTTAAATAAATGAAAATCTTGCCAATGAATAGTCCAGATAATGTGTTGCAATATGTACTATTTTTTATAGTTGAAATCTCTTTATTTTTCATATCCATACATCTCGATATCGAGATGATCAATTAGATGGTTTTCCATTGTCAAAATAAACTTTTCTGATAGATTTTTGAGGTGCACCTTAATTCTAAAATTTAAGGTGTCGACCTCATACCGTAGAAGTAAGGCGCACCTTAAAAACCCACATTTATTCTATTTTTCTGAAAATTGGCTAATTTTATGATGATTTGGTTTGGATTTTTATCGTAGATTTTGTTTGCATGAATTCATATTGTTCGAATCAATTTAAATAAGTTTTTTATTTTTGGCTTGGCTCTCTATTTTTCTAAAAAGATAACTCAAATTTGTAATAAAATTCATTTTATTATTAATAAATAAATGTTCTATTCAATAATTTTAGGGTTTCTGCCCTTGATTGTGTTATGATTGATTACGATAATCCTTTGTGATCTTTTTCTATGTTTTCTAATGTGACCAAATTGTCTTACTTGTTCCTTTAGAAAAGTATGCAAAGAGGCCATTTACTTTTAGTATAAGGAAGTCGCAATCATGTCCTCATATTTCAAATCAGGTGGTTATGAGTGTGTATTAACTAAAGTTCTTATAAAAAAAAGTTTCTTAACCTTTATGACGTATCCTAAACCATCAAATTTGACATCAATAGGTTAGGGATAATTGTGACCTCTTTATATAAAAGATAAATGGTCTTATAGTATACAACCATTTTTTAAAATAAGTCTTAACTTGTTTAAATATAAAAAAGGGATATTTAATCAATAAGATGTCAACATTGAGATTTAATTATTTTTATTGTAAAATGACTGTGACACTCAGTAATCACAATCATTCAACAATTCCATAAAAAATATATAACATTTTATCATTTTGTTTTATCAATTAAATAAGAGAAAATTACGTAAATATTTGTTTTTGTTTTTGTTTTTGTTATTATCAAAATACCAAATAATTTTCGTTATTTTTAATATGTCCTTTTTTTGGACTTCATAACAATTTTATTTTTAAAAGATGGAATTATCTATTTTCAGTTTTTTAAAAGATCGAAATTAGGTAAAATTTTTTGTTCTTCAATAACCGGAATTTTTTTCTCTCTTGTGGGTCCTCTACCTATTCTCTCTCTATCGACTAATCAAGTTCAAAAATCGATTTTTTTTTTTAAATTCGGTTTTTGAACTGCCGAATTTATTTTTTTGTTTTAAAAACACGCACTCTCTCTATACCCTTCCTTTCACCCCACGCTTTACCCTGTCTGTTCCTTTTAAACTCTTCCCTATCTTATCTGCACATTTGCAACAATAGCTGCCACAAAACCTCTCTCTTTAAAAAGAAAACCAAAAACTCCTCTCTCTCTCTCTAAAAAGAAACCTAAACTCTCTCTCTGCCCCCCTCTCTTTAAAACGTAAAGATTTTAGATTGGAGCAGCGTTTTAAAAATCACCGAGTCGAACCGGACTCGCCCGGTTCGACTCGGAATTCACGAAAAAGGGACCGGATCGGTTCAAAATCCGGGAATCGTCCGGTTCTAGAGAGACCGGACGATTCCGCACAGTGACTCGCCGATTCACTGTGCGGAATCGGC